ATTGAAATTGGAAAATGTGCCACTGATATAACGAGAAAAAGAAGAAAGTTTATCCAAAGAAAATTCAATGACAGGAAAACTATAATTCATAATAGGGAAACATCTAGCAGTTTCTAGTTCAGAACGAGAATTCGTCTGGATTATCTCGGTATATATAAACGTTATCAACATCAAGGTATCAAACAACAAAACATAAATAAAATTAATCAGAAGATTTCAAAAGAAATCAGAAAGAACATAAGAGCATATTATATTTTTGACAGACCATTCAATAAAACAACAGTCTTATTGTTGTAGATAATGAATATAAACCGACAAATGGCAGAAGAGAATATGTTACAGATAGTGGAATGATTCTACGAAACACTATACACAAATAAATTCGCCATATATTCAACAGAACCTAAAAAACAAAAAAATATGGACCAAAATAAAGCCTCAGGTGGGTTAGTAGAGAAGTAGCAGAAGAGATTAAATTTTGAGGAGCTGCTCGTATCAGCGCCATACAAAAATTCTTTAATATCTGCATATAACACCAAGCTATACCAACTAGATGACAATTCTATAACAATCCACGTGTATAAAAAGTTTTAAAGGAATCTCAAAAGCAATACTCTCGACTAAGTAATAGTTTAAACCACCTATATAAATTGTTTGCTTGGATATTCACTGTCTGAATAGAAAATAAACTAGAAACACACCAACTAAAAAAAAGCCATTACGATTTCGCCTTGCGCATGAGACATAACCATATTTCTGTATAAAGGCCCTCATTAAAAAAAACATTGAATATAACTGGCCCTTATTGCTAATAATTGTCAATTTTAAAAACCATTTTGTAAATATATACATAATGCCATCAGATCACTCAACCTCCACCAAACCACACAGAAAATAAAACTAAAAGATGGAAGACAGTGAGATAATATATCACCAAAAATTATTTAAAGCTGTAGTACAGCATGTATTCCAAACGTTAGAATGGGAAAATAGTGGTTTAAAAATTACATTACATAGACACAGTTATAATCACTGGTAATCTAAAAGAAGCTCAGAAAATGTTGCAAGAATTAAAGTAATTTAAAAATGAGGCTCGACCATTACATAAAAATAATTTAGGATAGCCAATCATGTGAACAGGCGAGAAGAATAGCTTTTCGACGAGCAATACATAGCAAACTGAAAGACATACCGATAAATACATATGGATCTAAAACGCTAACGTTGCCTAAAGCGCAAGATGGAGAGGTCAATGCTTGGCGTAACTTTTGGGAGAATAAGTGGAATAAAAGACATTATAGAACGCATTACAAGTTAAATTGAAAATGGACAGGGTATGTTCCAAGACAAAGTGATGAACAAAACTGTTCGAGGGAGGCTACCAAGAGAAGAATAAGCGCAGCTATGAAGGACCGCCTACTCGACAAATGTAATAAATAATTTGAAGAGGGTGGTTACAAACTGGATTAGTGCTGTGCAAGACAGAGAAGTCTCACATTTAAAGAAGGCCTATGTCCAGACAATAGTTCACAGCGAATAAATTTTGCAAGGCGCACAAGACAGAGACAGATGGAAAGAGCTGAGGGAGACCTATGGACGCATACATGTTGATGATAATAAATGTGATCAGTATCCAGTACACTTCAACATCTACTTTTGAATTCCTGGATAAAAAACAAGTAACAACTTAACTCCACCTCATTGGGATATAAATTAGGAAAATTTCACAATATCATTTGTATTACAAAGAGTTTTGAGTTCCTTTACCACTAAAAGGTCAATTTTGACAATCCTGATATTGGATTTCTTGAGCATTGTTGCCAAATCTCAAAACTTTGTAGCAACTCTAGTAGCATGACAGCACCATTATCAATACCGCAGTTAGCAATGAAAATGAAGTTAAAGACGATAAAATAAAATAACATAACAGCGTCAACAATAAAATACAATATGTCCAGCGCTAACCTGCTCATTTAAAATTTAAAAAGTACAGAAAATAATGATGCGAGAAGGGGGAGAGATATCGATGGATGTGAATAGTGAATACGTCCGTATTTATTGATCACAATGGATCGTTGGACTAACGTGCATCATGCTAATAAAGCACCTTGGTGTTGATAAACAAAAGATTGCGCTTGTTTAAGTCTAATTTTTCAACTGAAGACAATGTGTGACGTATCGGCTCGTTCCTTGAAAATCTACTCGAAATATCATCTCTTAGAAAATTATTTCAACAAACAAAAATGCAGATATTGGGAAACTACATTAACGAGATCTAGTTGGTCCAAAAGTGACATGTGCCATGTGGACCAGTGACATAATAATTTTTCTTTGAAAATCAACGAAACAGAAAAGTGATAACTTTTTTGGCCTTAATGTGGAAAGAAAACTCATATTTAGGTGAATATGGTTTCAACAAACAGAATTATTTATCAATAGAACAAAAACAAGTTTGTAAGGATGATCCCCCAATGGTTTAATGAAACAAAACTATGGAATAAAACGATATGTTATAAGAGTGGAATAATGGAAAGGTGGAGAAAATATTACGAAAAAGAAGAGGAATATTATACATGATAATAATTGCAAACCGTAGACTACGGAAGCCTATAGACTACATTAACACGAGGCAGGAAGTATGTTAAATTCCCCGACTGACTACAAAGAGCAAAAAGTTTAACAAATATAAGAGACAAGACCTAGTGTAATTAACACATCCTTCCTTTCATTGAAAAAGCCATGGTAATTAAAAGAAAAGATGGTCAAATATTGTACAGATGTAAAAACTTTGTTCTGACGATAGAATACGTAATGTCTATTACAAAAGCAATTAGATGGATCCTTGTTAATAATTCAAAAAACAAAATACATTAAAAACTACTTACGGCTACTATATGAGTTAATTCTATATAAATTTTATTTAATGGCAACTATATTATATCCAAACAACAAATTTCAAACTGTTATATTTTCGTTCCATAAAAGGATTTTCTTAGTATCATGTATATATTACATAAATATTAGGGATCGACAAATAAAAGTATCCCAAAATCTAAAGCATTCGTCGAGTGGCAATTTTTTGAAAATTTTCTGATGTTTCAAATGTTTTGAACGTTTTTTACTTATTATTGACAAAAGTGAGTGAAAAGAAAAAAAAAGATGATAAGGTATTAAAATATGACAGGAAGAAATTTGCTGACAATTTTCAGCACTTCGTTTGTAACAATACCAAGAGCTACTTTACCATGGACATTTTTTATTTACTATGACACGAATTATGTGCTCGGGCGGGCTGATTTGCTGAGTGATAACTAGATAATTGCGAAGTAGGAAAGAGATGGAATCATGGACCATATCATATATTAGCCTCATCTATAAAAAAGAACAAAATGCTGTAAAAATTACATCCTCCATGACAGTTAGTGAAGGTCTTTCACATTCCACTGTTAGAAATTATAGACAACATTGATATTTCTCGTGATCTTTTGAAAATTGTTGCGCAAAAGAATATTGCAACTGATTATGCTCGTTTCGGTATAAAATAATATTGACTATGTAGTTGGCACCCAAAAAATTGTTAGGGATAAATTACATTATTTCACAATCACTGAACCCTAATATATGTATGTTCCCTAATAGAGCTTTTTGTCACTAACGTCAACCAATAACCTGTAAAAGAGTGACGCACTACAGTTACCTCGGCACCATAACAAATGAAGAATGGACCAACAACCAAATGACACCTGATCAAATTGAACACCACCTCTTGTTGAATAGGAAAAGATCAGGAAAACACGATAAGCTGGATGTACAATGTGACTAAGACAATAAAAAGAATATCTATGGCTATCCTTTTACTTATGATGAACTTTAGCACTAATTTATGTAATGAAGCTTGGTAAAGAAAGCACAACAAACATAATTTTAGACTAAAGCAAAAGAAAAAAGGGAAATGAAAACTATATCCATCTTAGAGCAATAAATTAGTAAAGCTATAAGACCATGGACAGTTCAGCCAAGTGTGCTACGAAAATCTTATCCCTGGCTTTGCGTTTTTCTGGACCAGAGTAATCATTTCTTGTTTGGACCATCCCACGTTGATTAAGCTGTAAATGAGACTGCTTTCTTCTGATTTTAAACATCAGAAGGAAAGTGATTTCTGACACTGAGAGAAAGAAAAAAGATAGTGGTCAACGTCATCCCATGTTTGAGCAAAAACACTTATTGACATTAAAATTTCGTAGAAGTTTCATGGGTAGCACGGATACAATTGAAACAACTGCTGAACGATGCATTTTACAGCTTTAGATTGACACTTTGCATGAAGATATCATAGATCTAAAGAAACAGATAGCTGCAGGTTGTTAATTACCCAATATCACATGGAGGTCACTTAATAGACTTAAAATAAGCACCCATTAGTTTGCACGGACTTAAATGACGAATGCTCTCACTTTAAATTAATTGTAGCCAGTGGAAGAGCCATTCAAGCGGTGAAAAATTGACAGTATAAGATATGAAGAAGTGATTTGGATATGAGAAGGAAACGAAGCGCTCAAAACATCGAATTGTTGGATTTAGCACCATTCTTGGCCCCACTGATCATCGAATTACTTTGTTTCCCGATTGCAATTTACAAAAAAATGAATTATTCCTTGACTTACGATTCTTTCCAATGCATGCAAAAGTTTATAGGTCGTTACATATCAATATAAAAATGGTATAAATCCGACGCTAGTTTTTGTGTTTTTCATTATTAGAGCTATTAAGACATTTTAGCTATCAAAAAATATTTTATTTATTGTAGATTACCAAAAACTTTTACTCAATGAAGCCATATTTGATTTATCATTAATAAACAGTTGTTTGCAGTTGGAAATTTGTTCTACAAATATGATTTGATATAAAAAGAACACTCTAATTGATCGATATTCTATTACACCCCTATACATCAAATCACAATATAAATTATAGATAAATTAATAGATTATTACACTTACCCTGGTGTTTCTGTGGTCAAATTAGTTTTCTCTGTACTATCTGATTTGCCGTCATAGCTAATGGTAGACCTTCGACCCACGGTAGTTCCTAAAGATAATGCTTGGTTCTTAAATACAGTTCGAGCTTTAGTCGGAGCTTGTATACCTAATGTGACAAAAAAAAACAAAAAAAATGGATAGACACTACACTAACGAGAGGTGGGAGGTTGGGAAAAGGGTGAAACGAAAAGAAAACAGTTGAGGATAACGTAAGACTCGTATTCTAATGCAAAACGCGAATTTCAAAATAGTGATTTGAGTGGTAAATTTATCTTGTTTGTTGTCATGTGTCCAGCAGAAATTGTTGTTTAACAAATTAATTAATTTATAGTTTCCACGTAAAGGTATTAAAACAGAAAATACACTGGCGCCACAAATTTAAAATAGGCAATGTAGGCTGTGGAATTTTTGCAGCTTGAAGGTTTTAAAACTTCTAGATAGTTTAAAATTTATGTAAACAAAGAACCTAAGACTCATAAGAGACATGATAGAGCCCACAATGCTACGGATTTTTTAATAAATCCTTGAAGGGTTTAAAAGTTCTGTAAACAAAGAACCTTATAGAGCTTTCATAGAGACCCCAGTTTCGTCCATAATATAAAGAAGATATAATGAGATTTAAAACAGCTGCTTTAGAGCTAAGAAACATCCCGCATAAAATAATTTCCATTATAAAGTCACTGTACACTGAGGCGAAATGTAGCGTGACACACAATGGAATCAACAGCGACGAATTTGACCTACTTACTGGATGTGTGCTTTCTCAGTTTCTTTTTAGCATAGCAGTAGACTATGTTCTCTCCAAATTAGACTCTGACACAAAAGGAATACAATGGACGTTAACCACACGCCTAAGCGATCTGGAATACGCCGAAGATATCTGCCTGTTAGGACAAAGGTTTCAAGATGTGGCTGATCAATTGGAAACATTTTCCACTAAAGTAATAAAGAAAGTTTGAAAATCAATATTAGTAAAACTAAATCCATGAGAGTAAATGCAATAAATAACACTCTACTTACTATCAACAACATGTCTGTTCTACTCTACGCATGTGAAACCTGGAAAGTGACAAAAACTCTTACAGATAAACTGCAGGTCTTCATTAATAAATGTCTACAACGAATTGTTCGTATTTTCTGGCCTAACATAATCAGAAACGAAGATCTACTACACATGACCGCACAAAAAAGGATAGAACATCAAATAAAGTCCAGAAGATGGGGTTGGATTGGTCAAAAACTCAGAAAAAATTATTCCAGTATTGCAAAGATTGCCCTAGAGTTGAATCCCTAAGGAAGAATAAAAAAAGTCGCCCAGTACAAACTTGGAGAAGATCCATCATGGACGAGATAAGATGCCAAGGAAAGTCTTGGAATAAGGTAAAGGCCTTAGAGCAAAATAGAACCCGATGGCGCGTTTTCACTGAAGCTCTATGCTCCCCTTGGATATATATAAAACAGCTGCGGAATTTCTGCAACTTCAAGGATTTAAACTTTCTGTAAACAAAGACCCTTCGAATCATAAGAGACATGATACCGCTTTTATAAAGACTCCAGTTTCATCGGTGATATGAAGAAGATATAATGAAATTTAAAACAGCTGCGGAATTTCTGCAACATCAAGGATTTAAATTTTCTGTAAACAAGGAGCCTTCGAATCATAAGAGACATGATAGAGCTTCCTATCAGTTTCCTCGGTGATTTAAAAGTGATACAAATAGGATTTAACGAAATTTAAAACACCTGCTGTTGATTTTGAAGCTTGAAGGATTTAAACTTTCTGTAAAAAAGAAGCTTCGAATCATAAGAGACATGATACAGCTTTTAGAATAAAGACTTCAATTTCTCCAGTGATTTAGTGTTACAAAGAAGATTTAACGAAATTTAAAACACATGCAGCTGATTTTGAAGCTTGAAGGATTTTAAAAAGCCTTCGAATCATAAGAGACATGATACCGCTTTTATAAAGACTCCAGTTTCATCGGTGATATGAAGAAGATATAATGGAATTTAAAACAGCTGCGGAATTTCTGCAACATCAAGGATTTAAATTTTCTGTAAACAAAGAGCCTTCGAATCATACTAGACATGATAGAGCTTTAATAGAAATATCAGTTTCCTCCGTGATTTAAAAGTGATACAAATAGGATTTAACGGAATTTAAAACACCTGCTGCTGATTTTGAAGCTTGAAGGTTTAAGAAGACATATTGAAATTTAAAATAGCTGCGGAATTTTTGCAGCTTAAAGGATTTAAACTTTCTGTAAACAAAGAGAGCTGTCTCCATCGATTTATGAGAGATATAAAGAAAATATAACGAAATTGAAAAAAGCTGTGGACTTTTTGTAACTTTTTGTAAAGGGTTTAGAGCTGCAATAAATTCTTAAAGAAATTAAAATTTCTGTAAACACAGAACCTTCAAGTCATAAGAAACATAATAGTTGGTACTGAGTACCAACATGGTAATGCGTACCAAAAAAGCAGAAGTTATAAAGTCAGCAAAAGGTTTACCACCACAAAGTTCACGGGTAATGGCAACTGACTTAAGTGGTGGTAACAGCAGTAACGAGACAGTAATACCTACAATACAAAACAATCCATTGACTCTGTCATTAATAAAAATGAACATTAACTCTATAAAATTGTATACCATTCACTTCCGATAAACGTGAGGTAATAGCTGTGCAAACGTGGAATTTACCGGAGTTTGAAACGCTGGGTCAGTCATTTTTCTCTCTAAATCTAATATTTTAGGCCAAATGTGCTGCAAACTTGCAAAATTCATAAATTCACCACCCTGCTTAACAAAATAGACGAGCACAATCTCACTTAACGCGTTAAAACCGTTTTGCATTAGAACACAGATGAAAAAATGTGCAACTACTCATGTAACATATTAACCTATTTTATCTTGACATTTTAAATGACAGGTGACTTACTATTCTCCGTAGTCGTCTTGGGTTGAGCACTGGCAGGTCTGACGTTTAGCCTGGCACTATTTTCTTTGATCGTAGCACTATCGACGGTATTTTGCCGTTTGAAATTAGAAGATTGTTGGTTGTTAATTCGCGAGGCAGGTACTTGTGGTTGGGCTTCTGTCCTTAGAGTTTCACCTAAGAAAAATAAACCAAATACTATATAGTATTTACTTAAATCTTTAATATATATTCATAATCGAAGATTTCAGTGTCTTTAGAAAATTTAAATTACTATTGTACTTAATTGTAAAAAATTGCTATTCTATCAATTTAAACAACTTGTTTAAGATAACTGAAGAAATAAAATGAATTATTTAACAATTTAGATTTCTGGGGTCATTAAAAAACGATTCGAATTTGTATGGATCAAGCTTTCAACTAATTCTTTGGAGTCATCTGTAACATATCGTAATGTTTTGAGCTTAATTTGTTCAATACATCTTCAAGCTGTAATGATCTACTATGTTACAATGTATACAATAATTCAATACACAAATTCGACGCTCCTGAGATAAAAATTGGACGAATATCTGATCACCATAATATAAAACTTAATTTAATATATCAATTTTTGGGCAATTGCCTTTAGACACCAGTTCAAATTATTTATGGTGTTTTAGTGACAAAAGGTTACATAGTTAGTAGATGTAAAAATAACGTAACCTTAAAAATGGCGGGCGGGTTTCATTTTGTCTATTTATTTTAAATGTGATCATATGGCATCATTGAAATCTCTTGTCTTACTCGTCTTCTTACATTTTAGTGATTTTTGCACTGTTTCAAAATGACGAATGCTTAAAGTTCAGTGCCGAGAATGTATAAAACATTAGGACTATCCTAATAATTTGGTATTAACTCCCAAAATGAGCCAATTTATTTCTACAGTTTCCACAATTCGATGAAAATTGTTTGTATATTTATTGACTTTTAACTTTCAAAATATAAGGTTATCGATACTATCCCCAAATGACAATCTACGAAATATGACAGATAGTGTGATCTTGTGTGATTTAAGTTGTGAGACTCAGTTCCTAGATTTCTGTGAGCTTCTGCTGTGTCAAAATTCGGGCATTTTCCATCAAAACTAAATACTAAATTATTAGGGCAACTCCATAATTTGCACTTTGCCGCCATTTAAAAACCAGTGGGACTCGCATAAAACTGTAGGAACACGAATTCCAAGAGCTTTTAAATGATGTATTACTTGCCACACGATCTCATTTAAAATAATTTGACAAAATGGCGCTTGTTCGTCTTGTTCATTTTTGATTATTTAAGTATAAGTTTTTAGCTAAAGCACTTTTAAACTATGAACAAGAATTTTGGTTGAGTTGCTCCAAAAGTTTCACAGTTCATCAAATGGTTGGGGAGGGAGACTTGAGACGGTATCCTGTGTGATAAGTTTCATTTCCAAACAAACAAATAAAAAGAAAAAACAAAACTGTATTAAAATTTCGGATTCTGATACTAATTCAGAATGACATTTAAGTTTTATTTTCCTTATTTACCTAATTCCTTATTATATTCCCATAAAATCTTGTTGGACTGATATTTGACCAACGAACAACTTTTGACTAATAATGGATAAAAATATGTGCTTAAAAGGATCATAAAAAATAGAAAAAATGGAAAGCTGACATTCAGCTGCGATATAACACTAACTTGGACGATCATACTAAAGTTACCTCATTGTTGCGGTTTTAATAGTATCAGTTTATTTCAAAGGTAAATATTGAGAAAATAGGTCACTTCAAATTATTAATCTAACTAAAAATACCTATATTAGTTACCCACATCTTGAGAACCAGGATCGATAATCCAACAAGTTTGTAGAAACTGATAAAACAACAAACTAATTCATTTTTCTGCATGGCATAACTTTAGGTTTTCATAAGACTGCGCATTTAAAAATACAATTGACAACACCGGAAGTTAGCTACAACGTCATCTCAAATGTGCTGCACATTGTAACGAGAAATTAACAAGTTGACTTTATGAGTTGAATTTATACACAGAAAGCTAATATTTAGTTCAATGCAACGTTTTTAAGTGAAAAATCATAGATGAAAAACATCTAGTCTGGAATCAGCAGTGAACAAATTAGAGGTATCAAGAAGAACGTTACTGGAAATATCTCTAAACATTATAATGGAAATTATAATTAAAAACCTAAGGGAAATTCACACAAAATGAATTGTAATGAATCTTTCTAGAAACAGCTAGAACGTCAAAGGTAATGGCCCTCACCCACTGCTTTTTAAGACCGACGGTCCTACTACTTCTGCTACCACTTTAGAGACAGTATAAATTCCAACAGAATTTGAAGAAAAGAATTATGTGTTGACAAGCGCCAGAATGCATACTTACTCTGACAGAATAATTGTTGGTGACGTCACCATGAATTTGCTTGTAATGGCACTCCAGATTTTTTTTTTGACATTGCCATACAAATTCCACATATGAAACAGCAAGACTTGAACGAGTTGCGATGAGTAAAGATTGTACGACACACATATCGCAATTAGATGACAATCAAATCGAGAAAACAATGAATAATATGTCTGGTGGTTGAGAAAGATTGTAGCTGTTGCTTTGCAATATAAGTCAAAATGTCATATGTATAAGCAAAAAAATTGTGAATTCCTGAGTAGCTCTGCAATATACAGAACTAACATAAGAATAATAGTGAGCTTTAAGAATAATAGTACATATATAAAAAGAAGATCCTCAGGGGCGCGTGCTATCACCGTTAGCGTTTAATTTATATTCGGAGAAGAGTTTTGCAGAGCACTAAAGCTGAAAAGCTATTAAGGTGAATATTGCAAGAAAATTATCTACGACTAAAACAATCATTACATATTATTCAAAACTTAAACTAAGTAAAAAATAGGTCCTCATTTACAAAACTATTTCTTTGTGTTATTTGTATACTATTACTATTACATACTTTTATTTTATGCCCACATATATGCTGTCTTATCAATTTTTAAAGAATTGTTAAACATATGGCCGCCATTTCTAATGATCTGCTTTTATAAAAATGTTCACATAATATTTAAAACAGTGTAAAACATATAAAAACCTTCTACAGTACAAAACAGTTAAAATCGAAATTTAAAAAATACGTCACACATAATATAGCATTCAAAGCCTATGTACAGTTTAGGCCCTTCAAAAGTCCCAGTGTGGTGAGGTTACTCACAACATTACAGACCATCTAACAAAAAGCACCTACCTATGGTTCCACCTGAAAAGAATAGAGAAAAATCCAGTCAGTTAAAACACACACAACAAAACACTAAAGGCACAAGCTGGATTTATTCAACCTGCTTTTTCCAGTTATTATGACACGTGTTTGGTTTCGTTCTAAAAGCCATATAGTACAGCGAGAAGCTTTATACAGTTTTTTTTATTTTGGTACAATTTATAGTTTAAAATAAATAAAAAAAATCTATTATATAAAAGATTAACGGCTATCAAAATGTTGGAAAGTACATTCACAAAATTTTAATTATTCAATATGATAGATTTTGTCATGAATAGTATTTACAATATTTTATTTTACTATTAAAACTTTCAAAAGTTACATTTCGTTGTATACAAATAGATTTGCCTTCGTAATATACAATTTTTTAGTATCAGCGAACTACAATCCGGCTCGAAGGACCAATATTTAATGTTTTTATCAAGAAAGAAATCTAGTTGGAATTATTTTGTCAATTATTGTAATTTTTTTATAAATAATAGCCTTCGTCGATTAGTATACTAGTAGGTTTCCACTGTTATAATAAAATCTCGACTTGCGTGGACCTAATAGAGAAATATATAAGAGCATCTTCTTATATAAGCCTAAAATTGATTTAATGTAAAGTTTAAATAAGATCTTAAATTAATATTTGATTTGTAATATCTTAAGAGGCAAATTAGGCAAATTAACTTGTTTGTATATATGTCTATTTACTAAGAGATATCGTAGAGAGTTAGCATTAGATTAGTACTTTCAATGTGCAACTTACAAGGATTAAAAGTTAGTGGAATCTCATTAAAAATGCAAAGTTTTATAAAGTCGCGTTTATCGTGGTTCACATTTTTAAAAACCTACTCTAAAATACAGTTTAATTTAAAAATATATAAAATTTTTTGACAAATTCAAAGCCTACGTGATCATGAAAAGAAATTTAGCATATTTCTACATTTACTTTTGAATTGATGACTCGGCGGATTTACTTTTACGTTAGTAGTGTAGTAGATCAATTGTTTGAGCAACACTCCCAACAGATATGTTATATGCATAGTAGTCTTCTTCTTCCTTCTTGTACGTAGGCTTTAAAGACTGTTTCTTCTTCAATATTAGCCTCCTAAATTGTTTAAATTATCGCACCATCTTTTTCTTGGTCTACCAATACTTCTTGGTCCATTTGGCGACTTATCTCGTGCTATTCTTACCATCCTATCCTCTGCCATTACACTACGAACGAACACTAATGTGTTGTTCGTTCCACTTCTGTTTCCGTTTTGTCGCCCATCCATTTATGTCTTTTGAATTTTTTCTTGATGATTTCTTGTACAAAATGTTTTGGTGTTACTTTCATTCTTATTTTTGCTAGTACTAGTTTGTGTTCACTCCCTGCGTCTGCTGAGTTTAAAGTTCGGATATCTAGAATCTGCATAGTAGTCTAAAATCCAAAATTGAATTTGCAGGTTTTAATTGGAATTCCCGAGTGAATAGTCAGCCGATGAATGGGCCATAATGACATGAAAAAAAGTTCATCATAACCTAGTTTGACAAGGAACAACTAATAAATGGATGACATGTCAATTGAAGAATATGGCAAGTGTCATACAACACATCAATCTAATTTAAAAATTATAATATATGATAACATAAGATCTAAAAGTAACGAGACTATTTTAGAAAGCAGTTACAAAATCATACATTTCCAAGAGCCATTGAATGAAAACTTATTTGAAAGCTAACGAGGTCAATACGCACCTTAACCTTAAAAAAAATTGAGTACTAAAAATTTTTTTTGAGGATTTCAATCGATGCGCCAATTCTAACGACCTTTTCTAGATATATAGAATTTCTTGATTAAACTCTTAACATGAACCAGGATACTGTAAATGTTAGTAATAGGTCATGCACATTCGCATTACTCTGACTCACTTTTCTTGTGTAGTTGAAGAGCGAAGTCTGGCACTAAAGCCAATCCATGGCCTGTCGCTATTATAAACAAAATGATTATTTTATTGGAAATAATAGACGTATCTGTGAAAATTTCAGAAAAGAATTAAAAGAAAATTAAAAAATAACAACAATTATTATTAAATCATCTAAATCTCATATACGATATTTAATAAATTTATCGGATTCATAGTGGATTTACATTCCTAAAGAAATCTTATAAATGTAGTGAAAACTTTGCGGTCTTAAAGTAGTAGTAACAACACCCACTTTTCAAGGTACAGATATAACGTCATATGTCAATTGTCAGATTTCATTGTATGCACGAATATTTCAGCATGAAAAATGAACCTGTCATATAGTTATCCATTACGTGTTTATGGATCTAGCAGGTCTGCATTACCAATTAAATTTTTAATCTAGTCCTTGGTATGATGGTGATTTTTTTGTGATAGTGGAAATGTGTGTATATATAAAAAAAACGTGCAATGTGCCAAGTGAATAAAAAATAAAATCATAAAATTTCTACTTGGTATGATCTACGAACAAAAGACAATATGAAAAACTAGAACTACTGATAACAACACTACGTTTTGCATAAAACTTAAAAAACATGACTCTAAAAAAGAGTAAACGCTAATTTTTCTTAATACCTTGGTAACTTCAACATCCAATACTCTCAGGATCACTCATCCTTACTGATTTTTTTCTCGTTTTTAAGCAGAGTATCTCAGATGTCGTAAACAAATCAACAATAAAGAAAAGCAAAAGAAAGCATCGCCTGCGTTAATCAAAATTAATGGTGCTAATTTTTTAAGCAAAAGAAGTAGCAGAAAAGTTTAAAGATTTTTAGCAATTACAATAGATTTCAGGTACATTATTGAAGCAGTTTGTAACTGGAGTGAGGAAGAGACAGAAATAAAGGGAGAGAGAGAGATAAATAAAGAGAAAGGAAGCAATAAATCACTGACACAATTTCAGAATAAAAATTACCAAAATAAAACAACTCTTATAAAAAATGGGTAGGAATTTCTGCGCAGTGATGTATCAATACTTTTTCACATTTGATGAATAATAATCAGTAACAATAAACTTACATCGGTCAAACTGGTAGCACTTTTAACAAACGTATAACAGAACATAAAAGGGCTTTTAATAATAGAAAAACAGATTCTACATACGCACTTCACCTTCTAGATCATCATCATTCTTTTAATGACGAATTTCAAACCTTTCACTTCCAAAATAAAGGCCTTAACTAAAGTTATCTTTATTAGAATCTATGAAAATTAACAAATTAAAAAATACAGATATACGATCATGTATAAGCCACACTTAAGATATTTCTCAAAATAATACATGGAAGACTATACAAAAAATAGAAAAAGATATAGATGACACCCAGTTTGGATTCAGAGGAGGACTAGGAACGAGAGCGGCTCTGTTCGCTTTTAACGTTCCGAAAGAGTGAATAACTACAAATATCTGGAAACCTAGGTAATGAAAACAATGACCAAGGTAGAGAAATAAGGACACGCATTGAAATTGCAAGACAAGCATTTATAAAAATGAAAACAACGTTTGTTAATCGAGATCTTCCTCTGGAGCTGAAGATGCTACGTGTTCTTGACTTTGTTGTATAGAATGGAAAGATGGACACTAAAAGTGGATAATATAAAGAAAATATAAAGTTGGAATCATTTGAGATGGGGTGCTATAGAAGGATTTTGAAAATACCATGGACCCAACGAGTTACAAATGCGGAAGTGTTAAGAAGGCTACAAAAGGATTGCGAGGACATAAAGCACATCGAAACAAGAAAGTTGGAATATTTAGGCCACATAACCACAGGTGCGAAATATGAGATATTAAGGCTCATAATGCAAGGTAAAATCAAGGTTAAAAGATCTATAGGAAGACGAACAATTTCCTGGCTAAGAAACCTAAGAGAGTGGTATAGTTGCAGCTCAGTAGATCTTTTCAGAGCAGCCGCCAATAAGGTATGGATATCTGTGGTGATAGCCAACCTCTGTTAGGAACAAGAAAAATGAAGGGTATTAAAAAGGATAATGAGAACCGTATGAGGTCTAGCGGTTGCATGAAATCAACAATTTAACTAATAATCAATTTGTCTAATATAAAAAATTCAGAGGCTGGCAGGATGGCATGGCTGGAACATATTCAGAGACTGAAAAACACAAATCCATCCAGACCAAGATAGTTCGAGGACGTGGAGGTCGACCTTAATAATGAATGTGAGCAGTCTGAATAGAGACATGAAGGCCCATAGTCAGATAGGCAAATATCCACCGATGATTATGACGTCAAAAGAAAAAGAGTTCATTATAATGTAATGTTGGTATAAAAAAAATTGTTAAACGCCATATATATTGAAATTATGAAAGATAGCTTCATCGTTATATACAAAAGCATGATAGTTTATTTATATTTGTATTTGTTGTGAGTAAATACAATGGTATAATCAGGTTGTAACGAATAAAATAATTTTCTACCTAATTATCAATGTTGAGAGGCAAAAAGATTTGAACAGGTAAATATTAAATAATAAACAAATTGTAAATAACAACTTCACCATAAAGGTCACCAGGATGTATAGAAATGACTATTCGTTCCAAATTTGTCAACCTCCATTAGTCATTAGAATTGAATATAATTAATTTTTCATTTCATATTAAATGTCATGTTTTATGGTGGCAAATTCTACGTCAAATGTTAAATCCTACGATGTATTTCACGTCAAATGTGACGCTTTACGTCAAATCCATGTTAAATATCTCGTTGTGTTATATGTCGAGTGTTTCGTATTCTCGCTTTACGTGGCATATAAGTCAAATATCACGTTCTATATTGCATCAACGTCAAAGGTTACGTTTTGCATTACATATCACGTCAAATGTTAACTTTTATGTTGCATTCTACGTCAAATGTAACTCCATTTCATGGCATCTACCTAAAATGTTACGTTTTTCATCACGTATACGTGAAATATCACGCAAACTAAACTAACTGCAAAATGCCATGAATCCTTTACTTCTGTCCGA